CAACCACTATGGAAAACAGCACGTGTGCAATAAGGGAGTTCCTCAAAAAGTTAAAAGCAGAAATACCATGTGATCCAGAAATGCTAATCCCAGGTATTTATCCATAGGAATTGAATTCAGGATCTTAATGTGGTATTTGCACTCTCCTATTCATTGCAACATATTTGCAATAGTCAAGGTATGGAAACAACCTAAATGTCCACAGATGCGTGGATAAAGAAACATGGTATAATTATAGAATGGAATGCTATTCAGCCTTTCAAAAGTAAGAAAATTCCACCATATGGGACAACATGAATGAACTCTGAGGATGTTATACTAAGTGAAATAAGCCAATCACAAATAGTCCACATTACCACTTACATGAGGTGACTTTGTCTAAAATGGTCACAGAGGAGCAGAATGGTGGTTGCTGGGAGCCAGGAAAATGTGAAACAGGGAGTACAATGAATACAACATTCCAGTTATACAAAATGATTAAGTCCTGGAGATTTGCTGTACAACACTGTGCCTATAATTAACAATATATTATGCATTACAAAATTTGTTGAGAGGGTAGATTTCAAGTTAAGTTTTCTTACCAGAATAAGAAAAAAAAAAAAGCTACTTTTAACCATGTACTACGGGGTTAATCATTTTCAAAAGGTGGAGAACTCATAGTTAAACAGAAATATGAACAGGAAACTTCCTGAAGGTATAGACTAATTATGTGGACTTTAATTAAAAATACCTTTTGGGGATCAATGTCCTGAAAGGTAGAAGCAGCTTCAGGCACTCTCTAGGCATTTGCCAAGTACTGAGGCAAGTATTGCAATGCATTAGCTTGACAATTTGACATGTTGACACACACGGCATTAGCACTGCTCTACTTTATACCACAATAAATGCTGCTTGTAGGCTTAGGTCACCAGAATAAGGGCTTAAGATAGGGAAAGAGCCGTGGAAAATGCCCTTTGCAAGGAGTCTACCTAGCTTGCAGCATAGACCTCCCTTGCACTTCTGTGTCCTGGGTTTTCTACTGAAGTCCCCAGGCCCTTATTTACTTGACTTGAAACAAACGCATGTTAAAATCTTTGCAGGTGGTGTTTCTATACTTTGTCTGGCTTAGAGGGTTGACAACTCAGTCATTCACAGTGATAACAATGGCCTGAATATTTTGTGATAGGTGGTATTCGTCCATCAAATTGCCTATTCTAAGTCACAGGGTCTCCCTGTCTGTCACCAGCCAAACCCAGACTCATAATGCTCAACACTTCTACTTAAAAAACAAAAGCAAAGATACACTAACTTTAGAAAACCAACAAAGGATTTTGTTTAAAAAATCAAATTCAAGTGAAGTCCGTTTATGAAAAAGCCAACTATTCTTGTTTAACAATCATTTTGGTCAATTTATAAGACTGGTACCATCCCATTCCTTGCCTAGTAATCTGCACTGCAAAAATGAATCTTGGGCATTTATCAGAGCGAATTTGGAGAATTTGGCCATGAAGTTGCTGCATAAGATGTTCTACTTAAAATAATTTCTAAGATGTTGGATTCATGTTATTTTAGCACTTGTTCTTAAATGAGTGAAAATTATACCTTACATTTACTTTTTCAACCACTTACAATAAACTGCCTAAAAAGAGTCTTTTTATCATACATTTTGTGAGATTTTATTTTGTCTTCAATTTAAGAGGAGCACTATTAGTGGCTTGCATTTTCTAAACTTTCATAAAATATTTATTTGCCATCCAGCAGAGAACTCTGTATAAATTACCTTTTAATAGACTATAAATTTTATTCTGAATAAATGCTTTAATGTGTAATTTTTATAAAAATCATATCTCTTTCAAGGTTACATTTCTACTAAATTTCATATATAGATCATAAATAAAATAGCTTGTTTTTCTTCTTAAAGATTATTTTGTAAGTAGCAGCAGAGCATTTTATTAATTCTTTTAGGTATACAGAAGTCACTGTTCTCTCTCTGGTGCTTGAAGTAAGATCACAAGAAGGGAAAATGAAGATTTTTCCCTACGGCATTTCAACTGGTGTTGATTGTTTTTCTTGTGTTTATTTCTGAACACTTGTCTTTTCTTCTCTATCACATACTTGTATAATGCACTATGTGTTTCCTAACTCTCTTTCATAGATTGATTTAGAGGCTGAGACAAGAGGATCACTTGAACCTGGGAGCTCGAGGTTGCTGGGAGCTACAATGATACCATGGCACTCTACCCATGGCAACAGAGTGAGACTCTGTCTCAAAAAAAGAAAAGAATTTTTAAAAATTAAATTGAAGTGATCTGTGGTCTTCCAGGTGGAAAAGTCAAGAGCCTGCTTTGGCAATTCCTCAAAGTGGAACAAAAGTGACTACAGAGTAAAGTGGAACTATGCAGCCTACCTGGGATGAACAGGAAATATTTACTACATGCGTGCGTTTTGTGATGATCCATTATATATGTATACACACACACACACACACACACACACACACATATAAGCATTCAGAGATTTAAGAATTTGGTGTTGCTTTACCAATATTATGTGTTGTCATGGTACTATTGCACTAGTCTTAATTTTGATCTTAACATTCAAAATTGTCCACCAACTTTTGCTACCATAGCCAAAATTATCATTCAGTTCTTCCCAAATGTAACAGTCCAAGCTGACCAACAGTCTCACTAGTTACCTAGGAAACCGTATCTCTGGATATCTCTACTGTCCATACTTCTGTTGGCACTCTTCCAGCTTCATGAAATAGCTTCTTTAATCCTCCATAATTTAAATTATAATGCTTTCTTCAGGACCTATATAAACCCTACTTCTTTGACAGATTCAGTCTACCATGATCTCCATATTCTTTTGAATTCTTTTAATAGCTCCTAGATATTTGTACAAAGGCACAGATTAGGAGATCAATACACTCAAATCTATTCATTCATTGATTGGTTACATGTATTTCACTAATTCAACAAAATTCACATGCCACACAGGATAGTGGGCACTAGGAATACTAAGATTAAAAAAGATAAAAACTCTTTTTTTTTTTTTTTGGCCAGGCCAGGTTTGAACCTACCATCTCCGGTATATGGGGCCAGTGTCCTACTCCTTTGAGCCACAAGCGCTGCCCAAAAACTCTCTTATTTAAAAAAAGGGTCAAAATTTTATGCTATCTAAACTTCAAGAATATTAAACTCATACAACATCAATGTGCTAAAAAGAAGAGCAGGTGAAGGCAAGAGGGAGTCACTTTTAGTTAGTGTGAACAGCAGAGTATCTTTTAAGAAAATACATTTCATTCATTCATTCATTCATTCAGTTTAACATGCCAGGCTCTGTTACACACAGGATGCTGAGATGAACAGCTGGAAGGCACAATCTTTATTTACAGAGCTCTCATGCTTAAGAGGGGAAACAATTTACAGCATAGTCTAAAAAACCAATGTTAACTTAAGGGGACTGTGATAGATGCCATGTCTTTATTCTATTGGTTTGGATTAGTCAGGACACCCGTCATGCCACCATCTCACCCTGAGCACCTCCACTTCAACAGGAGTAAGCAAAGGCGGCAAATGGCAACACAAGCCTTATGATCAGAAAAACAACAATTTTCATGGTTGATTTATTACTTTAAAAAGTGTCAAAAACATACATTTTAATTAATGTAGCTAAATATTAGCATGCATTAGCCACTATTCATGTAGTTTAAAATCCAATGCTTAATTTTAAAAAGAGTCAAAGATAATCCAAACTCCTAGTTAAAATAAATACCTCATTAAGCTTTCATTGTTATTGGTTCATAATTACTGTTTATTTCATCCCTAGTTTGAATGGTTTTCATGGAATTAACTCAACCGTAATACCCAGTGTTGTTTTTCTTTTTTTTTTTTCCCCCACTCTCATACACAGCTTCAACTTGCTCTGGATTTTAAACAGGATTTTAAGCTTTTCTTAAAAATGTTTATAGGCAGTATGCTTCTTCCTGTCTCACTGTTGTTCCCCATAAACATGGACCGAATGGCCTTCAAAAGCTTTAGAGACACAAAGGTGAGTAAATCACAGTCCATTTCCTCAATGAGTTTAAAATGTACAACAGAGTTCTAAGAAATTTCAAAAAAGAGGCAATTGACTGGTCAAAGAAAATTATCATTATGTGCCCAAATAGGCTTCCAAATTATCTGTGTGCTAAGAATGATGCTTCATTAAGTTACTCATTTTCTTTGGTTCTGGCAGCTCAGCCAGAGCAGGGAAAAAAATAGGTCTTTGATTGCAATGTGTTGTCCCTGGACCACGTAAGATGCAAACAAATACAGCCACACAGTAAAAAAGGAGTCCTTTCTTTGTCATCAAGCAAACTTTCTTTAGCTTCCGTCTGCCATCAGGTGTTTATATACAATCAGTCAGCAATAAATGCCAACTGCCCTGTCCCCTGTCCCTCTCTCAGAGGTGCTGCACCACTGTTTACCACACACAGCACTTCACCCCCATACTTTAAAGAGAGTAGAGGAAGGTTTATATATATAAATCACATGTATGTGTGTGTATGTATGAATTTATACACACACACATAAATCCAAATATTATACGTGAAAACCTCCATATACCAGAGAATGTTTTGGAAATCTCAAAGTCATGAGAGAAAATAAAAGGAATGCATTTTTTTAAACTAACTTTAAATAAAGACAATGCAAAACTATCATATTCTTGAGCAACATGTAAAATTTTTTAATATGAGACTTGTTTATTTCTTGAACTCCCACACCTTCTAATGGACTAGTAGGACTTTTTTTTCAATTTCTGAGGCCTCTGTAAAATAAAGTTACCTTTAGTATTTTTATGAATTTACCATAAAACGTATTAGAAAACAAATATTTACCATAGTTCCTCTTTGAAAATGTTTTCAAAGTAGTTTTGAAGATTCTGTATCTCCACTTAGTTTAAGAGATTAGTAAACGAGACCTAGCAATGACTGTACTTCTTTCTCTAAGAGGAATGACCTTTGGCACAGAACATACCCAGATGCTGTCCTCTTGTCGATACTGCTTCCAGTTCCTGCCACTGTCACTGAACATCAGGAGGTAGCTGGTGACCCAGTTGGAGCTCCCATAGCCCCCTTGGGTGGCCACGGCAGTGACCTCCATTCTCTCGCCAAGGTCAATCTGCAACCACTGGTACTTGTTTGACACAAGTGGAGACCAGCCACCAGCTCCTTTTGTAAAAATGGAAACAAGACAAAATTGGGAAAGGAGAGTTAGTTAAAAATCTATGCTAGAGAAGCAGAAATGTCAGTAAGACTGTATTTCTGTCTGAAATGTAAGTCAAGTTTCCAAATAATAAAATTTCTTATTATAGGAAAACATACAAAAGCAAGAATTTAGTGTAAATGGATGGAATCTATGTTATTAATAATTATGTCATTTTTAGGTTGTATAGCCAGCTGATACTGGGGAGAACTAAGGGTCTCCCCAAATGTTTTGCAGTGCTCAACTTGACAAATGAACCTGCATTATCAACACTTGGAACTGGCACGTCTACTGCCCTCCTGCCTGACTGGTTAATGGTTTGGTCTTCAACCCCACTCACAGGACTGGATTAAGGGGGTAGCTGCGCAATGTGGTGGAACTGGAAAACTACTTCTGATCACACTTGGACAAGGAAATGCATTGTTAGGCTGGGAAAACAAAGAAAGTCTAGGAACAGTCCTTACCTTCCAGACGTTTACAGTCTTAGGGGAGGGACAGACGTTAAAAGGCATGTTTGAAAGGTAATGTTAATAGTAAGATGCGTGCAAGGACCAATAGCATGATGGAGCGTTCCATCTGGAGATGGCTGGAGGTGCTTCACAACCATTTGTGAGAGACGACTGCTAAATTTTCAAGTTACTAAACATAACCATCTTTGCAATTAGCCACAGTGGGAGTATTTAAACCATGGAAATTACAAACTCTGCACATAAGCACTCACCCACACCCCAGCCAGTTACTAACACACTATGGGCCCCATCCTACGGGGAAGAAGTTGGTGAAGGATGAAGACGGGGGAAAGTAAAACACCACAGAGTCGGTTATGCTTGAGCACTAAGACGGGAAAAACGGAAATGTGATGTTCTTGTATGTTCCAGGAGGTACAGGGAGAGCAGAATTGGCTGTGTTTTATTTTATCCAGCACACATGAGCATATTACACATGTGACTCCTGTGTGTCTTAACTTGGTTCATTCCTCAGCTTATCATAATAATTTCGGGGATTATTTGGGGAATTTGTTTATTTTAAGTAATATTGCCTTACTGATAATGTAAGCAATACATCATCGTTATAAAAGCCATGAAGTGAGGATTGACACATTCTTGAATTCATATTTATCTCATATTCAATATTTATTAAAATGAAAAATCTATTTCAAACCATCCCCAAGAAGCATGTTAGCATATGTTTCCTTTCCCTATTCCGTTGCCACTCACCTTAAGGCTCTGAGAATAAGGTCTAACATTTTAGAAGAGATTATCATTAATTTTATATAGTTTTAATTCCAGGGATTTTGTTGACACCTGTCACCTATTTTATGAAACCTTGAGTACAAACCCTCGTTCAAAGTGATGCTCAATAAATGTTTCTATCACAGGGGGCGTGTGCCAGCGCGAGACCTGGAGGGACACACCTGTGTTGACAAGTGTTTTCTAAGATTTAAAGATTCCTTGGATGGAGGAACACAGCACAGTGACACTCTGATAGATAAAAAAAAAACTCTCTGTTACCTACAACTACAAAAAAGAGAAGGCTGCCAGTTAGGGACATACAGGAGACCACACCAGGACAGAGTCAGAGCGAGCTGGAGCTAGAAGAGGGGACTTGCTTGGCAAGTGGGGTCAGCTAGCTAGGTTTCAGGTTTTAGGGCTCTTTATGAAACGGACAATTTGAATAATTTCTCTAGCAGGCAGTGGGGCATAAGGAATGCCCCTGGTTGTCTGGTACGTGGGCCCAGAAACGATGCACTGAAGAACCTAATGAAGGAAGTGACTGACACACGGACAGAATCAGGCACTCAAGAAGGAGAACTGACCAGCCTCCGGCCAGAGCCTCCCAACTGGGTCAAGATGGCATTTAAAAAGAAATGATATTACAACCATGTCCTCTCTTAATGGCAGCACACTAACTACTGCTTACATTCAGGGATGATTCCCATTACTTACTAGGTTACCATGAGAACTAGATACTTTTTCAATTTTTTTTCTTAAAATGAACCATTGTTCAAAAGTGTCTTCTACTCCATACATCAAAAGTACAAATGTTCTCCCTCTCTGTGGATGCAGAATATTCTTACATATTGCTATTTTTTTTCATGTGTTTCTACTTCCAATTTTCTCTATATTTGCCAATGAAGCACCTGTGGTTTGGGATGGAATTTCTTTGGTCAGCAATATCATCTACCTTGTTCAGGATAGAGTTGAATAGTCTCATATGCTTATTTTATGCGACAGGGCTTTGGGGAGCTGGCTAAATGTGGGCTACCTTGGTGCCATTTCTTTTTTAGCACAGCTCTGCTGTCTACAAGGGGCACTTGCAGCCTGTTATCTACATGGAATTTGCTGGTGAATGTTCTGACGTACACTTATACAGTACCCTGCCACAAATAGCTCGGAGAGCTCTTGACCTCTCAGTGGGAGCTGCTTCCACAGCACTATTTTTAAGTCTGAGTCAATGCTTCTCCCATACTTCATTTCTCAGGATGTGATGATGCACCACCCACCCCTTCTGCCCTTATCCTACTACTTGTTCTACCATAGTCTTACTTGATATTTATTGAGCAAGTCAGTTCTTTTGTGTCAGGCATTCTGAAGGAACTGTTAATGAATTTGTCAAAGCAATTTATTTAGTAGATGGTGAGTCAGATACAGAGAGTTTGAACACCTTGTCCTCATCTCTATAGCAGGGAAGAACAGTGTTCTACAACAGGACACAGCAGGGCCTCTCATATTGTCTGGATGCATACGTGGGAATTGGGAGTTCCCAATGAGTGCAAAAAAGATGGTACCAGTGGGGATCAAGGAACCTCAGGATTGAGTTTCCAGGCAGTAGGGCCAACTTGCCTCCCTTTGGTTAACAGTGGACCGTGTCTCTGAAGTATAGGTATGTGACAGAGGTGGTGGTGGGTCAATATTTCCCTCCACTGACCTATCTAATCTTACTATTTTCCCCGTCCCACCCAGGGCCACTTAAAACATTCATAGTCAGATGTCTTCTGTGTCTGATGCTAACCAAGCATTCTCAGTCCTCTTATTGCTGCAACTGTGTATTTCTCTGCAGCTTTTTTTACAATGAAAAGTTAGGAAAGGATGAATGAAGTGCCCCAAGCCAGCCACCATCTCAACCGGGAAGTTCTACCTTTGGAATATGTAAGGGTACCTGAGGAAATACTGATTATTTTGCTTCTTGCTCTTTCCAGTTCATTGTAAGGGTCCAAAGGCAGTAATGAGGATCTGTTTTACAAATCTGGAATTTCACAGTATTCCTCTTGCATTTCAGCGCACCTTCATAGACCAGTATTTAGAAAGAAACACGTGACAGAGGCATGGCAAGGGGAAAGAATCAGTATGATTCCAGGGAGTGCAAATTGGATCATCAATTCTCATCACAAGAGGAACCCCTCACTGACCGCTCCTCTTCCCAGCATCGCTCACAGTTACGGCTGCACGAGCTGACTTGAAACATTCACAGTTAATTGACCTTGAACATTTCAATTTCTTACCTGTGGTGAAAAGGTACTACTGGTATGCAAATTAAGCTATATCATTAACGAGGTACACTGATAAAGTAATGGAAATTCAGATGCTCCTAGGCTTTACTGAGTAATTTCAGCAAGATAAGTTGGCTACAGGGAATCCAAATGTCCCTACTGGGTTTTGATCTGTGCAGCTCTGCAGACATACATGGTATAAGTGAGTGACAGCGTGTTATGCTCGTTCTAATTTTAAGACACATGGTAAAGAATAATATGGAAAATATATGAGAGAGAGATGGGGGGAGAGAGAGAGAGATGGATGAGAGATAGCCACCGACCCTGGCAGACGCTGGTATGCCAGCCTGGGTGACGGGAAGGACCAGAGTGACATGACAAGCAAATGCAGCTAAAGCTGGGGTTAGACTCCACCAGCCATAAGCCACGGCCGAGCCTTGCACCCTTCTGGAGACACACTGTTGTCATACTTATTTTGAATGGAGAAATTGATGGCTAACTCCAGCAAATTGTAAAGTCTGAATTGCTATAAAATAAAATATAATGAATTCTTTATTTTGCTTATTAACTAAGCCTCTTCTCTGCTGGCCAAGTGTTACTTGTCCTTCATGTGCTTTTAATATATCAATGTATTCCGTGTCACAGTAACCAATACCCATGATACTGAAGACTAGCTTTTTCATAACCCCATCTATTCCATGGTTAGATACTTAACCCACAAAACAAAAACAAGAATCTTGCCTCACGAGATCCTTTTCTTCCTCCTATTGCATTTTTTTTCTTCCTATTTCTCCACTCTCTCCCTCCTGCCTTGACCTTGATACTGAGACTTGGCATAATAATATGCCATAATCATTTCAAGTAGAAACATTTCTTAACTCTTCATATTGTAGCCTGAAAACTCACATTTAAAAATAAAAATCCACCCCATCCATGACTCTCAAATGCTATAGTACTGTTATGAGAATAAAATTTTAAAAGCTTGGCAAGTGCCTATTAGTATCTCTCAAATTTAACAAGCATGAGAGTATATAATAGTTGTTAACTTTTTGAGTTGTAAAACAATTATTATTGCTATTGACTCCAAAGAAAAGAATTGTGAGCACAGCAAAAGTTGAGCTTTGAAAAACTTTAGTGGCTGAATGACCACAGAACAGAATTTCTTTTATCTGTTGCCTACCATTTCTAAGTATCAGGTGTCTATGGAACATGCTTCTGTAATATTATGTCGCTATGAGTTATAAGGAACAAAAAGTAAAAACTGTCTGCTGCTAAGTGCATACTACCAGAAACTGTATGCATTGATTACATTAATTATTACAATTATCTAACTAGAGGAAATATTCCTTAATATCCCTTCTTTTCAAATAAAACTTAAAAAAATTTATAGAGGCTAGGTAAATTTTACCATTACTTTAGCATAGGTGAGAAATTACTTTTAAAACTATATTATTCTGCATGAGGATGTCACTTTTA